TTAGGGTCTGTCTAAAAGGTAAACTGACTTCAAAAACTAGAGTATGATATCACAATGGGCATGTCCAACTTGGTCAGGGTCTGTAAAACGTAAACCTGACATCAAAAACTAGAGTATGAAAACATAATGCGCATGTTCCTGTTCTGCAGAATCAGAATGGTATCAAACGATTTCCTTCCTGCAATTCTCAAATCATCAATAGATTTAATTTTTCTTCAGGGGATATTTCAAGTTTTGCCTGCCTAAACCTTTGGTTCAGAAATTATTTTGTTCCCACGAAAATTACAGGATCTGTTTTAAAAATCTGATAAATCTCAGCTTTCAGCAGAGTAAGGTAAGAATGAGAGATCATATTCTTTTTTTCACACTGGGAAGAAAGGATGGAATGTTTCCAATGTACTAGAACCATCACAATCTTGCATGGCAATTAAAATGACAAAAAAAGCTGATATGTCCCAAATTTTTAAGAATTCAGAGTGAGATATCTTTAACAGGCAACTGCATAAAAACCTGCAGTTTAAGAAAGTAAGCTGCATATTTTATGTGCATGCTAAGAAAGTGGATCCAAAATATTGAACAAGCTGAGAGGCCTTGAGGATTCAGCTTTCTCACAGGAGTGCTGAACAATGATGTCCCAAGGAACATTCAGATAAGGAACAGTGAGCAATTATGGTATCATCAGGCTGAAGGTAATTGAATTAAACCATGCTTTCTCGCCAATACTGTCTCATTATTGCAAAGTGTAATTACTAAAATAAAGCCACTAAGTCCTAAGAAATACCAGGTTTGCTGCCATGTTGGAAAAAATCAATGGGTAGCAAAAATCATACATGAAATACTAAAAGGTGTCTAAAATTGTATATTTAAAAAAATTTTAATCAAAAAAATTTGGGATTCATGCTATGAAAATCCAGTAGAAAGGAGAATTTCATGTAATTGTTTCTACATAAACACTGAAGACAGAGTGTTGAAAGAGACCTCATCTCTCAATCCCTAACCCGTGACTTTACAAGTAACTAAAAGCATAAAGTATCAAAAGGATATATGACAACTTATTCCCAATAATTTATGAAAGGTTAAGTTGAATACGACAAAAGTCACAGGTTACTTTACTTTTCTAAAAGGATGGGGGGCCCACGATGGTCCTGCAGTAAAATATGTTTTCAGGAATAAAATGTGGCCGACAGAAAAAAGATTGAAGTACAACTTCGTCCATGGAAGCATCACACATACATGTAGTTCAAGTCTTATAGACTCAGGCATGCAACTTGGACTTTGACAAAAACAAGGAAATCTTAATCTTTACAAGACTGTACACTGTTTGGGCAATTTTCAATGGCATGAGTGTGAAGTGAAAAATGTGGAAATAAGCTGATCCAAGGAAAACTTGCATGCCTGAATTCTGAGTAATAAAGGAAACAAAATTGCCTAAGTGAATGAGAGCAAGTAAGACAGCATAATTATACAACCCAACACACCGTGACTGTACATTATAGTCTGAAAACAGAAAACAAAGGTCACCTCCACTCCAGGGCCCCTCTGGAAGGAACTTTGCCATGTCATTAAATCTCAATTCATTAGTGGATTGAAACAGAGCCAGATTTACATGTAGCACTGATTGGCTTAACTGCAGGTCATTGGATTTCATTCTGTCAGTCAGTCATCCATAGCAACTACAGAATTCACATTAAGACGTCAAGCCATGCACAATGCCCATTGCTAAGATGGCAAGAAACTACGTCAACGTGTCACATGACAACCAAAGTCATATGTATCAACCACAATTCGAATTAAATACATGCACGCCTCTTGCCTACCTTTCTCAGTCAACAGACAGTATCTGTTTCATGCAAGTCTCACTGCTACAAATCTGGGAGTGGGGCTTACAGGAGGAGGATATTCTAACTGAATTTTATAAACAGTACAAGTATGGTGCGGGTATAGACCTTTCCTTACTGGATGAAGGACAGGGGTTTCTTGTCCTAGAATTGCTTAACCTCTCTTTAATCATAATTCCCAGTCCTTTCCAATGGTGCATGAGCTGGAAATACGCCAAGTCACATATACAAACTAGCAGTATACATGTACAATAAACAATTTCCACCGAGGGCTATTTTTTGGGCTAAGACACTCATAAATAATCTTAGGAAAAGACACATGCATCCCTCCCTGCTGGGAAAACTCATCCATCTGACTGATACTCTCCTCCTTTTCGCTTCTAATGAACTCTTAAATTTTACACACTACATGTCATTGTTGATGATTGCACGCTGATGAATGATGTCGGCAAGGAGAGTCATTTTTACCGCCTCCTGCAAGAAGAAAGCTTAACAAAAATATGAGGTGGAGTAGGACAGAGGTGCCAGCAGAACCACCATGATATGAGAAAATTGAAAGGAGATGAAAAATGTCTTACAGGTGGGGAAGATAATTGAAAAAAGAGAAAAGGCCAAGGTGCATGCTTTGCTGAAAGATGGTTGATTTCAGATAGTGACCACAACATATGCAGAAACACTTTCAATTACCTTAATGTGGAACCTACCGTACCCTTATTATGACGAAAACATGGGCTTGTAGTACAAATAAATCCCCCAATAAATTAACCTGTTGTTATTATCCATTGCCAAAAGAGTTTCAGGGCAAGCAGCACTATAGATGAAATTGAAGAAATGGCACTACTGGTACACCTGGATTACAAATTCCGAATTGAATTTTCCCAACTGCTGAATCTAAAGAACAAAGTGACTGACTGCTTTGACGTGGATTGAGGAATTTTCAATGAAATAGTCTCACAAAACTGAAGAACATAATGCAACTAAATAAACTGGTACCATTCAGAGTGCTTTGCCTCCATTTAAATGTGAGTCTTTGTCTCTGAATATGTACATATAGGCCTACATGTGCATGTATGTGTTAAAGTGTTTGCACATGTCAGGGTTTGTCTCTCCTCTCCTGTGAGTAGATGTTATAGCCGGAAACATTGGAACACGAGACTCTTTGCAGAGAGAAATGACCGGCACAAGCTTACAGACTGCTACAGGCTCATAAGAAATACGGGACCAAAGTACACAGATGTTAGTCATGATGGCCGAGTAGACTACTGACATATTACACACTGGCTCAATAGGGCAGCCCTATTTCTAAGGAAGGAATAAAATTATGTTCATTTTGACAGGAGTTTTCAATATTTTGGTGCAGCCGTTCAGGGAAAATACAAGTAAACTCTACATATGACCAACTGTCAGCCATTCTTCCAAAACTTTAAACAATCGAAGGGTTGAAATCTACCCAAAATGCAAAGAGCAGAAAGGCCTAAAAAATGATACAATTTTATTTTACCAGAGGGAATGTGCCAATTTATCTGTGGTACTAATTTATAAAAACTGTGCCTTTCCAATATCGTATGGAAACTGATTAAAATTCAGTAGTGACAACTCTAAAATCTTCAATTTTCGTCTGATAAAATGGATTCTGAACTGACTCAACTCTGCTTGCAGACATTCAAGCAATTAGACGGTGATCCAAAAAATTGCAGTTTGTTGAAAAGCAATCTAGGCTTGCTGGCTGGGACAATCTCAGGGGAACATCTCTGAACAGGTGGCGTGAATTTAAACCAGTCAATTTATGGCATCTATGACACCACTGTTCTGGTACTTGACTACTGTGGTGCCAGTTACTCCTCCAAACTAATTAGTGTTTGATGAAGACAGGTGTAACGTTCTCCCCTTAAACAGTCAGGCTCTGGCTTTGACATGGGGGAGGGGGTGGAGGCAATACATGTAGGTAAATCACACACTGATCCAATCTTCCCCTTTGTGCACACCAGTGCTCTCTTATTTGCAGCCGCCGATAGATTTACAGGGTCGTATAACAGCTAGACATTTCAGCCAAAGGCACTTGGAAACAGGACACAGGAAGAGCCATATTTATCAATCAAACCACATCCACTTGGGTAAGCTTAGGGAATTGGATACTAGCAGCCCAGAGAGGAGTTGCTTTCAAGCTGAGATTTATCTGCTGGAACACAATTGCAAGTTTTAGTGGTTCCATAAATCTCTTCATCTGGGTCATTTTGAGAACAGTACTGGGGAGACAGACACATCCCTTCTGGCTCACTGATAGCTACTGCACCTCTATAACAGCAACACCTCCCCCTCTCCTAGCAGCATATCCAGCTTTTGGCGTGGGGGGGGGAATGCTAAAGCAAATGTTGCTTTGGGCTCAGTCATAGAACATGATGATGGGGAGAAAGAAACAAAGAAAAAAGCTTTACTCGCAGTCCCAACATCCTTGCTTTTATTTCATGGTGTTGTTTTCTTAGAATGTTGGTAGTAATATTTGATAAATAACTATATGGATTACGTTCTTACCTACGTGTATGAAGTATTCTTTGTAAAAAAAAAATTTAAATTCAAAAAATCCGTCAGGGAGGCAAGTTGTCCCCCTGCCCCCACGCTGGGTACGCCACTGCCCCCCTCTCCATTTCAATGACTGCTTGTACCGTACATTGTAGAAACTCTGATCACTACAGTTACCAAGAATGGACCTTTCCCATGAAATATGCAAATAAGGCAGGTGCATGCGCATTACTACCACTGGTTGGCAAAGTTGCTTATCTTTGACGTAACAATACAAATCTCCATGCGCGTGCCACTATCGCCATTTTTGTGCAAGTAAAGTTTGACATGAGTGCCAAACTTAAAGACAAGGAACTGTTACTTTCCAACCTCAGGACACTGGAAACTTCACTTAGTTTCGAGAAAAGCGTGCTCAAGTATCGGGCAAAGGCTGTAATATGGTTTTTGATTGACCGTCAACGCTCCAGGTTATGGTTACTAGCAGCTCGCCTATGCTACCGACAGTGTTGGCGGCTGCACTTGCCAACCAGTGGCAGTAGCACGCATGCGCCCATTCAATTTGCATATTTCAAGGGAAAGGTCCATTAGCCACAGGAAGCATTCACAATGAAAACTTAAAGAGCACAAGAGGGTGACATATAACAGGTTGGTTTGGTAACGACCAAACTACAAGAGGTTGGAAAATAATGTCACACCAATTAGAAAAACATAAGACTTTCTAGAACAAACAATAGCTGTCTAAACGTTATGGCTACGGCTGGAAATAACACAAGTGCCTAAGAAACCACTGGCTACTGGCTACGGTTGTGGCTACTTCCCATACACGTAGATGCGTATTTGATTACCACTCTCACTGAAACTGATTCTAGTACTGAATAGAGCACCCCAAAAAAATCTTTACAAATTGTTGGTCCTTGGCAATGCACATGCACAACTAATGGGATGTTGAGAGACATTCCAAAGGATTATAGTAAACCAAAACGGATAAGGCATAGTGTTCCATACCGCACTGAGGCAACAGGTGGATGTGAGATATCTACTTTGACAAGGTGACTCAATCTGACTTCAGTCATGTCCTTAGCTTAACCCTAACCCTCCTCAATCCTCCAACAGGTGAAGGATTGAGGAGGGTTAGGGTTAAATATCTAATGATGTAAAAAGCAGCAAAGAAGTAAGACACCTACCCCTTCCTTGGTTGCAGAAGCAAATTTGGTTGCACTCAATGCAAATGTAGACCAGCCCTACAAAAACGACACAGAAGCAAGAAATGGATGTCATAAAACTCACTGACAGTAAAGGATTCACTGGACTTGTGAACAATGTTTAATCATCTACAAAAATACAAAGGGATAGAGCCTGTGGTATTTTCTTCTGAACTGGAAGGCAAGCTTGTTTACAGAGTAACAGTTTTCTCTACTAGAGACACAATGTCTTCAAACTCTCCTCCCCAACGGGTGAAAACCAAGCCAACTCCTGCAGTTGCCAGGATCTGGTTACAAATTATGGAGCCACATAACTAGGGACAAGTCTTTCTTAGGTTTCTCTTCTAAATAATTTCATTTCTTAGCGTGCATGACACTTCTTGGAATGTACAAGTCTAGTGTCATCCTAGCAAACTCAAAAGGCATCCTACTTACAGAGCTAAGTGAAGCCACTGCCGAGTCCCAAGTATCACTGCTACTCTCTTGTTTGATTGGCGTGCTGCCAAAACCTGTATATCTGCCGCCCTGACTTGGTGGAAGATTACTGGAAGACAAAATGAAACAAAATAATCATCCTACAGCTCTAAAATATCTTCTGCAATGACAACATTACAGATGATTAAATCCACAATACAACATTAAAATTGCATACATCGTATTTAGGTTGTTGTTACTTTTAACGACAATTTAATGGCTTGCAAATACTGAGCCAAAACCTGATGTACTTACTCTGGTCTGGCTGCATTCTCAGCTTGTAGTCGTTCAAAGTAATCCTTCTTTTTGACATCAACCTCTGACCTAAATGGCAAATAAATCACAAATTACAAATTCAACAAAAAATCTGACATATCAGCAGCATGTAACTGACCCACTGAGATTGGTACTTGGGGAAGTATGCCACACTACAATGCACAAACATGGTGCCCTGAGCCCTAACCCTCCTCAGTCCTCCAACAGGTGAAGGATTGAGGAGGGTTAGGGTCAGTCTGATGATCTTCATGCTCTGAAAAGCTTATGGTACCGTCGCATAGTAAAAAGTTCAGAAAATTGTAATAATTTGGCTTAATATGAACAAAGGCTAGAAATGTGTGTGTCGATGACCATGTCTTTCAACAGTTTGAAGTAATTTTGCAAATTTAAGTACTGCACAACCATTTGACCCTGTTGGGACACCTTGAGTCACCCAAGATTGTTTATTTATAACCACAGATAGAGCATGTCCATCTATGCCTGTGGCTGAAGAACAGGTGTAAGGGAAGTAATCCAATTTGCTTTAAAAAACCAATCCTGAAATCTAGGAGCAAACATGACACACACTGGAGAAACTTGGAGGGGCATGCTCTTGTCAAAAGAAATCTGAGATCTCAAGATTCAATTTTTGTTTTTCATGTCATCTTGGCCCCTGGCAACATACTTGGACATGCCGTACATCAGGTCAAAATCGTCCTTCCCAGCAGATTGGTATCCTCCACTGCCTCCAGACTCTATCATAGCTCCGCCTGAGTTGTAGTTGGAAAAACTGGGTGAGCTCCTGGAGGTATGAAATGACCCCGATGAGCTGCTTAGGGAAGAAGTTGTCTTCAGCTTAGCAGCGACGTAAGGTACGTGATTCCTAGCAGGTGAGGTAGCTGCAGACCATGTCTCACCTTTGGCTTCGGTGGCAATCTGAAACGCAACCAGATGCTTCGCTAATTGATGTGAACATTGAGAATCAGCAGGGTACATGAATCAGTCAAAGCAATACACACACTGTTACGTTATGGACGGTCACCAGTATTTCCTAAGCAGGTGTTTTCTTCCCTTAGTAAAAACCATTTTTACCTTATCTCTGTATAAAGCTGCTGCTTTGCTGTTGTATTTTTCCTGTATACTCCAGCTAGGGTCGTAATCCGGTTGTGACTTCAAGAATGCCCGTGCCTTATTGTTACCTCCAACTTTCATTTTCTCCAACTCTATGTCCTTCCATTTGTCCATTGTGACTGACCGAACAAAGCTGAAGGTGCAAAGCAAAACATTCTACAAATGACATGTACCTGAAATCATCCATGACTTAACAAATGGTTATGGTGCATCCTGTTGAATACAGGCGATTCACAATACAGTGCGCCACCAAGAGTTTGCCGCAGATAGGCCACTTTCAAGTTGACACAATGCTGTGATTAAGCGGACTTTGTATGTAATGTGGGGATATTTGATTGATTGAGGCGTCCCTGCACCGCACAAAACCATCAGTTTGACTAAAAGAACCTACATGTATCATCCATTCGCAATAAGCACTTTCGAATTTTCAACTAAACAAACTTTCGAAAATGTCGACTATTTATCCCATAATGCTCTGTGAAAAGGCCCCTCCATGACAACCTCTTGGTGGCACACGGCATTGTGAATCGCCTGTATTCAAGATATGGCTACACAAGCCACTATTAGGCCATGCGTTGATCATGATATGTCACAACCAATGCATACCTACTAACCTGTCGTATTACTTCCTGGGTCAGATATCACCACATAATAGATTACAATTTCAAATGAAGTGAGCGCTCATTTAAATACCTTTTAATCTATTGTGTGGTATTACCTGACCTCAGGAAGGAGTACAACAGGTTGGCGGGTCTGCCAATGACTATCAACTGCAGCCACTTCAATCAGATCAAGAATATTAATTATCAACACACACTTGGTCAGTTGTATGTAGAGCCACGAATGAAGAGTTTGACATGACAATACCAAAAAGACCTGCACTACAGGTTCACCATACAGCAACTCACGGTATAACAACATCCTTGTTATATACATGTCCATGTATATTGCAAGCGGAACGTGATCAGTGTACATACATGTACATCCTATTATTATTATTATTTCATTCAGAAATCAACCAAGTAAGCAACAATCGTAAACAAAGAAAACCAGATACGATTTATTATTCTGGGATAACCCAAGAAAGCCAATTACACAGGCTTATTTCCATCAGGGTCCCTTAACCCCTTGACAACGGGAATTTGTTTCCAAAAGCAGACTCCAAGAATTCCAGCCTCGTTTGGCCACGAAGGCCACCTGCCAAACTACAAATTCTCAGTTTGTGGCCCTGCGTGCTCTGCACCCTTTGAATTACACAGTGAAAAGGCTGATTGTTCGGTGGCATGCGGCTCTACTCATGCTTCCACATTCCCGTTGCCTCTTTTCAAAGTGGGGACTATTGTAAAGCTGGTGATTATGATGCAAATTCAGTCTTTTCATTTCTGGGCTACACACAAAGGCCAATCACCATATATACAAGAGCCAGGGTCTGCCTTCTTTCACCGTGTTCGCTCGAGCGTGGGCAGAGAATAATAGCTGAAAAGCGGGCTGCGGATCTCAATTTTTATGGCGGCTCTTACCGTCTTCCGGCGGTTAAGTACATGTACATGTATGGACAAATTTACAAAATTACACATACATGTATACAGAACAAAACATGAAAAAACAGCAAATATCAGTCCATTTACCCATTACTAATTACAGTCGTATTCACGACTCCATATTATTTAAAAATCAAAACTATCAAAAAAATAAAAAAAATTATACTGAAGTCACTTAACCCTCCCCATTTGAAATCCATCCTACTAATTAAAAGCACTACATTTCTCTATTGATTGGCTTTTTGTGATGGATGTGACTTTATTTGCATAAGACAGGACTTCAACAAACCTGAGATGGACTCCCAATCCTCTGTGTTTGCCAGAACATTCCAAGCAGATCCAAATACCATATGTCACACTCACCCACTGTGGGTTATGACCGTTGCATTCAAAACAGTTCTGCCAAGAAACAGGATATGAAAACCATTTTACAGATGGAGTTTTGTACATGCTGTTTGTATGTAATTGTCTTTAAGTATCTGGATAAAAAGTCATGTCAGATCATCACAATTTTTGGGTCATGCTGTTCAGCGTCAACAAGCATTAACAAAGCGTCAACAAGTTATTCAAGCATATTTATACAAAGACTGTTAATTTACAACATTCATTAGGCTCCTACATAACAAATATATGTCGATATATCATAACTATCTGAAATGATAATTGAGTGTTGAAATTGAGAGACAAAATCGGGCCTCCTTGTGCAGCCAGACTGGCCGTCATCTCGTTTTTGCATGGACGGCAGAGGAAAGGAAGATGGCGGCCCCCACACATCACAAAAAAATTTTGTTTTCCTGGGAGAATCTGGAAGCAAATTCGGTGTTTCTCTTACTCAGTGGCAGGTGGTAGAGTCTATAGAATATGATAAAAGTTGTTGATGCTACTTGTGTGTGTTGACACTTGTTGACACTATTTTGACCACAATTTTTGAGTGTCAGAAACACCACAAATTTTCCCCTACATGTATATTCTCACCAAGTTCTCCTGAGATACTGAGCCCTTTTTCCACAAAGGCTTTCAGTATGAACATACATGACATAACTTTTCAGACGTTCATGATGTTTCAGTGTTGGCATGGTCAGTTGGTTAGGCATGATCAGTTGATAAGCAGGATCATGCAATCATGTTGTATTCTCACGATTGGTCATCCGGGAACTTTTGTACATTATTGAATAGCACGAAAGGTAAATCTGTCCCTTTGCCATGTGTCAAAAGTCCATAGTGATGTCATGCTGACCGTGAGAATGAAATAGTTGACTATACTTCCCCTTTTTAACACTCTTCCACAACACAATAGAACAGAACGGTAATTGGCTGATGGCAAAATGTAACAATACCAGCAAATCCAGCTTGCATATTGGCAAGAAGGCCTAGGCTAGCGTATGTGTACTCTTGAACTCTTGAACACTTGAACGTTGACAGTTTGATGTAGGCCTAGAGCAATGACCATGACAACGTAATTTTTGGGGGTCATGTTGGAGGCCGAGATGATGTTGGAAGAAATAATAATAAACATGACTGAAAGAATATATAAAGAGAACAGGGGGATTGTGAATTTGGGGACCCTGTTCGTATAAAAGAAGGGAGACCTACATTTTAACCTTTGGATTCCCCTAGATGACTGTGGCATGATGCTCAATAACTGTACTGTATGGTCGATGTTGTGAAAAGGGTAGAGTTATGAGTTTTGAGGGAAATTATGCGGGGAAACTGTGGGTGTTTGAACTGACACACGGTGGAGTCAAATTTGCATGGCTGATTTATCTGTAGGAAAGTTACATTTTCTCACTATTTACAATTTCCAAAAAACACGGTCAGCATGGTCACGGCATACAGGGTAGTTCAGACAGCGTTGCCTTCTGGTTTTTCGGGGGAATGACCAGTAATTTTGCACAGATTAAAATAAACAAAAACTGGGGGGTTCCCAAATTTACAATCCCCGAGAACAGGCCTTTACCATGTTGGAAACCTGCCCGTCCTTCATGTCCTTGCTAGACAGTTAGTACAGTGAATATTTAGAGGCCTACTTTATTTCGTGTGAACGTGAAACGTTACATACGTTATTGCCTTCCTTAGGTCTCAATTCTTTCATCACGCGTCGGGTGCGAGGACTCGCCATCTTCACCGCTCAGTTTGATTTCGTCCGTAGTTTGAACAAAGGAAAGTACAGATATTGCACTGACACCGGTATTCTGTGCTTAAGAAATGAAATACACAAAATAGGGCACTAGGATATCACTGGAATCTACACAAAACTTATAATTTCACTGATGTTCAGCATTAAGAATTTTCGTCAACTCCAATCTGTCGCCATTTTGCATGATTAGGATGATTACGTGGAACTATAGGCAGTGCATGTCACTGTAAACCGGTTTAGAGTCTTGCCTAACCACACTCTAACCGATTAGACGCGGGTTACTGTAGTTGAAGTTTATCCAACTCTTGGAGGCGCTATAATCATTGACTAAAGGTTGCAGTGCCCCAATTCAAGGAAAAATTCTCCGCCACACGGAGGCGCACAAAAAGTACCCCGCACATTCTTTCGAAAAGAGGGGTTTGTTTGGGCCAAGAAATAGTGCGATTATATCAGTATTGCCCGGGGTCATCTCTGTAGATTATGGGGCACTCATCTGGGGGCAAAGTAGTCAAAAATGTGATTGAAACTTTGTCAAAAGAGCACCAGGAAGGTGAGGGGTGTCATTTGAAAAATGGCCGCTGAGAAGACTTGGGAACATTCACTTTTTGGGGGGTGAGTTTGTTTTTGGAGGATAATTGAAAAATTCATTGGTTAACCTACTAAAAATTGAAAATCAAATGAAATCTAAAGGACCAAACAACACATTGCTTTTTGTTTGAGAGGCCTCAGGGACTTCAGTTGCCTGCCATGGGGTTCCAAACTTGGTTGATTTTACACTTGAATTGGTTCAGTGCACCCATAAGGTTGCACTCATTTATCTCCATTATATATAATGGAGATTAATGGTTGCACTACACCAAATACGCGCCCACGGAAAACAGTGCAAAATCGGACCGAAATAGCCGCCTGTTGACTCTCGTGAAGAGGTTGGCCTCCGGGGTTTTTTTACTGGAAATTCAAGATTATGGCAAGAAGGTCACTTTTCGTTTCAATTTCATGGGGGTTAGCCACGAAAATATTTTGTTATTTTCCTTTCGAGGAAGATACCCCCAAAACAGCAGTAAAACTAAGCGCTCATTACTGAATGTAGCCGCCCGCCTTATATCCAATTAGGCCCGCAATTGGGGCTTTTTGTGAAAGAAATACCCCGAACTGGAAACTATCAGTCCCAAATTCGGGATTTATAGAAATATTTCTATGATGCCTCTTGATTAAGGCATGTCTTACTGTAAAAACCCTGTGGGATCACAAAATATTAATGAGCTTGCGCGCAGAATTTGGTGGAATGCACCCGTAAGGTTGCAGGTTGCCGTCGACAAATCGCAACACGGGAGAATATTTCATGTCCACAGATTTTTTATCTCTAGACCTCGACTGTTTGGGGATAAATTGACTCACGTATTTTCTGATGCATTGGTAATCATTCCGTAGTTTAAAATTGTGGTTGTAACCCGACAACCGTCTTTTTATAAGCAAACAAAAACTACCAAAATATTATCAACATTTCAGGATGACAGGAAGTGCCATGTATGACTTCTTGAATTTGAAGTGACCTGTTTAAAAAGGAAGCACGAATTTGTGATTGAAACAAGGGTCTTCAAACACTGGTGTAAACATTGTATGCATACACTATGTGCACTGGGTGCAGGGGTCATGCCAATTCGTAAAGTTTAAGCAGCTTTCAATAATCTTTATCATAAATCTGGTGTCTGGAACGATTTTCGAATGGCTTAATGAAAAAAATGTACTAAACTGGGCACCAGTTGTGGATTCACATATTCTTCGAAAACACTATCACATCCACATTTTGTGCGAACTACAAAACAGACGTTGTCATAAAAGGAAGCGCGCACGCAAATGATTATTTCCAAAATACTTTATTCGTTTACATGTCCAAACACACTTATCTCTGCTTGAATGTGGAACTGAAGATGGACATTCATGACAAGGAAACACGTCTGAAGAGAAAATACAAGAATTTCAACGAGTGTTATTTGCAATGCAAATTATAAGATGAAACGCGTCTGAAAAAGAAATGACACAATCCCAGCTTTCCTGATTGGCATAATTTCCCTTTTTAGACCCCGAATAGTTTTCATTGATTCCTGCTTGGTTATTTTGGATCATCTTCCTTTACATGAAGCAAGATATGAGACGGAGAGACACTGCCTTGTTTTGTGTTAGTCAATGACTCACTAGAATCTGAGGAATTCTTTTCAGACATCTGGGGGGGATGTTTTAGGCAACCATAGTCTGGAGTGTGTATATCGATTGGACATGTGGGGGGTACCCCTCGGTCTCATTTCTTGCTGGATATATCTCCCTTGATGACCGAAAGATTATCTTTCAAAATCAGTATTGGTGCAAAACGAAACGTTCCACTGGCTGAAGACAAATATTTTGCAAACCTAAAATTTCGAAAAATTTATTCCAGTAGGCAAACTTGGAAATTCTACCTTGGAATACATACAGAGAAGCATACTTCTCAAAACTTTCTTTGAAGGAAGTAAAGAAAATACATGCGTATGCTTCCAACAACTGTATAAAAAATACCAGCTAAATTAACTGATTTGAAATTAATATATAAATATGGTAGCACGTGATCATTCAAGATACAAAAGTATTGAAAAACTATCGCAAATTAGCTTTTAATTTTGTGATAAGGATGGCAACATTCCTTTAAACTGTACACAAATGTACATGTACTTTATAGATCTAGTCTAACATTGTAAAATAAGTCTTAATACACTACGAGGTGATAAAATAAACGACTTGTGATTGCTTGCTTACAACGCACATGTGGTTTATTTTTGATTTATCACGTCCTGTAGGCCTATACTTCTCAGACAAGCATCGGCAGTAAAGTGGCATAATCACAAGTGGTTTGCAGATGACACCATTCGAACTAGAATATTTAATGTGAGAGTACACACACATCATCTAAAGCTTTTTCGCCCAAAGTAGGACAAGTGCGCTTATGCACAACATCACCATCAGTCGTGCCGAAAGAAAGCCTTGTCCAGGGTACACTTGCATCAGCACCATGCGCAGGACAAGCGTGCTCAGAGATCCTACAAGCCAACCTCATTCCCATGGGTCCGATCTTGTCGCGTCGTGTTGGTTCTCACCGCGCCTTGCGCGAGTGAAGGAACGCGCACTCCGGCCATGGAGTCGAGGTTGTCAACAAGCCTAAATCCACTGCAGCAGATCTCCATCATAAATGAAGATCAATGCTTACAACGCCACATTCGTAGATGTCAGTCGAGCGTGCTTCGCGTAAGTGTGAGCACGAGCGGTTTCAGGCCCACATAAGTTGCCTGAATGCGCGATCATGATGCTAACGGTGACACGTCTTGTTCACATTTAGTATCTTAAAAATAATGCTTAGAAATGTTGATATAAACTCTCGAATGCATTACATGGCACAACAATCTCCTAATGAACGCAATAATCAATAAACAACCCTCAAAATACAATAATCATTAAGCAATCAAACCTTAACTGTTAGGACTGAAGTCACTCCAATGTGCAAGCGCAGCAAATGACACTAGATCAGACCCGCCAATTGTATTATGCATTATAACGGGCGTCATGTTGTGTGACTTGTACAACATCGTACAAATTTTGCAGTATAAAACATTACAGTGCAACCCAAAGCTTACATGCTGCAAATGGTTTACAAGAATGCTGAAAGATCTAGTTATTATTGCTATAGAGATAAATATTAACTCATGATACTGGTCTAACTCAAACTGTATCCTAATACATGTATTTCTTAACTTTACGCTGCTACAATAGTTATCTCGTGAATGAAACATCAAACTCATTGTTTAGTTCTGATGTTGATATTTCTCCACATTGTGCTATCGGGAAAGTAACTTTATGATAAACAAAGAAGAGTATATATACGTATATAAAGCACCACCGATCTCGGACAGCAACAGTTAGGCATACAAGAAATAAGTTAAACACATAAAAATTAATGTCTTCAATTACTGTCCTTACGCCATGTCGTTTGACACTGGCAACTTAGTTCCAACGGCTACGGCTACTCACCGTGCCGCCATATTGAGGAAAAAAACCGACTCGCAGCCAATTAACACCCGATTCCTGTTTCATTTTAAGCTCAAGGATTCAATCACTAAGATGGCCTGTGCGGCCACATCATACTAAACATGACGTCACGCGGCAATGCGCGTCAAAAGAAAGGTGCACGGTCCTCAACGGTTGGGTTATCCACCCGGTGGCGTAGCTGGGATTTTACTGGTGGGAGGTACAAATGGGCACCAGCATCTCGGGGTACCAGCTTTCGGTAGTGGTTTTTTTTTTTGGGGGGGGCATGTTTTTGTTAGCCTTGTTCAGTATCCATTCCTCCGTTTTTTTCAGTGTGTGGAGGGGGGGCACTGGGAATTTGTGTGTGTGTGTGGGGGGGGCACGTGCCCCCAGGCCCCCCTGGCTACGCCACTGTAACCATCCTTTGTTACGCAAACAGACCAGAAACAAAATAATGCAGCATAAACTATGTTATTAAAATTAGCTTGGGTCGGAAAAACAACGTTTCGCATTCAGCCGTTTTTACCCTGTGGTAGTAGTATAGAACTTTACAACTTGATCTCATACAAAAGAACTAAAGATTACATTTTTAATTTTGCTTTTACAAAAAAGAGAGCAAATCGGAAGCACCAATACAGAGTTAAAGACACAATTCGTTCATTTATTTTCATGCATCTACGCATGCGCGAGAGATCACTGACAGTGGTTATGTGAGCGCGATGCAAAAGTAGGGTTTATATAGTTATTACGGTATTCATCATTTTGAATAATCAGCGGAATTCGCGTGTAGTGCAGTGTTCCAAGAAATTTGGAGTTAGTTTATAAAAACCTGACCAGGAATAAAAATAAAGAAACAGGCAGAGCGTCGGAGTGGAGATAACAATGACCTCAAGATTCTTTAGGATAATAACATGGAACATTTCATGGCCAGTAGAGTCTGCGCGCGCAGTATCCACGAAGTACTTCAACACGAGTCGTCAATAGTTAGCGTCACGTGAAAGTTGCATACTTGGATTTGGTAAGGACAATTTTGGGGCCAACTTACAGTCGTGGAGTAAGCGTCTAAAGTCGATAGTTGAAACACTGACGCCAATTCTGTGTGACTAGTTCGTACAGTTGCATATGAGGGGAAATGATGGGTAGTATGTATTGATCAACGCCTTTTTTCCACAACAGTACGTCCCTCAACCTTGTGCGTCTGCCTCCTTCATATTTCTCAACGAGGCTTACTCAAAATTGTCTTGTGTTGAGTTTTCCCACAGGAAGAACGTCCATACACATGTCGAAGGGTTTCGAGGTAGGGTAGGCTGTATTTTCTACATACATAATGCGCACAGTTTAAGGCAAACTTAGCATAGGGCTGTAATTGTGCACGTGATTGAAATCCAAATCAGACTGGCACGCTGTTCCCATTGATCATGTCAGAGTCGACTTTGCCCCAGACACCGACCACGAAAGACTCGATCTGACACTCATTTTTGCCTCGCAGGATGCGAAAGTGGCCATCTTCACCCCAACCTTTACCCCACGAGTTGGCTGCAAGCTGAGGATGAAACGGAAAAAAGGGTGGTGTTAAACTTTACTTTTAATGACATTCCTCGGCTGAACAAATATCAACTACAGAGAGCTGTATGGTCGATTGATATTATCAAAGAAAATGGAGTTTTACGAGATCAGTGGAATGATTATCAAATGGCACTGTGAGGCCATCCAACGAAAACCAAGTAAAGGCACAGCGAGTACACGGCTAAAAATTGGAACAGAACGTGCACAAAAAGTATTGTCTTAAATTTGACCGCAGAAGGCGTTCACACGTAAACCTGTACCGCGCCGAGGGGAAGAGATGACTGAAGTTAACTTCAGCCTACAAAGTTCATGTATTTACCCAGTATTTTATAGGTTTTCCTTGAGATTTGTCCACACCCCAGCCAAGAAGCTTCACTGAATGCCAACCGGACGCTTTCTGCTCGTCTTTTGTCGCCATCTTGGAATGCTTGTAGACACCAAATTTGTACATAAAGAAGTCTTCCTGAACATGGAAGGCAGCTGTAAGAAATTAACAGGTCAAACTCTATCATCAACTTCAAGAACCCCTTAAACCTCAGACATTTTTGTTTCTCTTTACTTTCAGAGTAAGAAGATGTTACACAGATTCGCACATTACTTTGATCAAAAGTAGCGATTAAAAGTCAATCACCTTGAACAGGTCCATTCATCAGAATTTCTGCCTTTATTTCCTCTTCCTGAAAAGTAAGGAAATGCAAAGATGAACGTTGGCACAGGAAAATGTCTCATTTCCCATCCTCCCCCTTTGAACTATAGAACACAACTGGACAGGGAACCAAGCTATTTATTCTCAACATTGGGACAAAGACTGCCCGTTTCCAATAATTAAAGAAGTCCTTATCGGTGTAGAAAACAACACAATAATGACGGCCTACTGCATCGAACTTACGTCTTCAGAAATTCTGTAGGGTGGTGTTGAGAAGTATCTGTCACTCGTCTGGCGTTCCTTTGGACAAGAGTTAGACTGCTCACCCCGAATGTAGCAAGATCCCTTGTCCATCTTCATATCAAATGACATTCCACTCTTGTATGGATAACAGTCCGTGGTGACTACGCTGTTTTTGGAAGAAGAAAAATTTGGAGATGAATATCCAGTTTGTAGAGGGAACTAGCGTTCTCTCTATATGGGGTTTGCACTCACCCTTTCTTGCGCAAATACCACCACGCACGGTCAAGATGGCCGCCATGGCAACCTTGCTGTCGTCTGATGTTACATGACAGTAAGTGTTGGGGTGACAAGGCCATAGCGATGGTACCGTTTGATTGGATGGCAAGGCGATCGGATGCAACAGCTGAGCAGATGGACACATATGAAATAAAGGACAGAGGTGATTTTCAATGAATAGGAGTCACCTCAGTCACGTAGCCAATTTTGAGTATTTCTTTTCAACAATGAACTGAAATGAACTTATTTTTTGGATTTGGCATTTTTGTACTGGATCAGTTTTTGTCTAAAACCCTGGACTTGATTCCCATTCAGTGCAAAACCTACTCAGCGTCTAATGTAACCTCATAAAAAATCGCCCGCTGAACTACGGAGGGTGTCATGACGTCACTAGCCTCATGAGGTGTGATGACGTCAGTGCTGGGCTTTCTTGAGTCATCCGTGGGTGTTAAGACTCATGAAAGGGACCACCTTCAGCAGAAGAATTCTTTACTTTTGCTTCGTCAAAACGCGTTGACCAAAATTGTCAAATGACACGATTTGTCTCTCAACTGATTCGGGATTACTAAAGACAAATATTTTGTCTAACGAAATGTCAATATAATTTAGTCCCCGTATGAACCACAAGCTGGACGAAGAGAGGTACAGTTTCCCAAGTAACACAGGTTCCTTTGGTAAGAACTACATTTCGCTGGTTCACAAACGACTATGAAAAGCACGCGTTGCGGTCGCACCGCCACCAACAAAATGAGCACTCCCGACCAACATGGCTCTTTTCAACCGATGAGGTTGTGCTTCTGCTCGAGGCGGATACTTACAAGCAGTTGAGAGGGCCCAAGAGCTAGCGCAATCTCCCTGATTCAAAACTTCATCTCGTAGACTTGGCCACTTATCCCGAGCATCAAATTCCTCAGGGATGTCCAAGGAAGCAGCGTCCATTTGGATTTCGTTCATGGCTTTGACTGCAGCCGTAGGCTTCATCGTTCCCAGCCGAAATTGAAATCCCTCGGCTAAAGTCATGCCCCAGAACTCAGAGTAGTTACCTGCCGTCCATCTAAAAAGAAAATAGATGGATTTTCTCTCGTCAAATCTGGCATGGTATTTGGCGTAATTACCAGTTTCAGAAAATCTACTGCTCATCTGAAAATTGTAACGCATTACAAGCATTATTTTGTTTGTTCGATAAAATACAGAAGTGTCACCCCATGTCTGTCATTCTTATCCTGTCAAATAACTTAATAAAGATGATTAAACACGCCAAACTTATAAACTTCTAGTAAAGAGATAATCAACATTATTGGTTACAAAATGAACTTTATGCTTTTACTTGTATAATTCAACCAAAAAGCATCAATTTTATCAGACAAAAGCTTATGGGCGATGTTGTAAATTCTCAGTTCCCTGATGCACTTCTTACAATTTGACAAAATTAGAAGTTTTCGAAGAAATATCTGTGTTGCGACGAAATCTTTTGACTTATTTTCAATCCCTGTTATCGATAATTTCTGCCCTTGAAATCACATGACTCAAATGTTGCTATTCCACACGCAACCAATGCCATGAGCTGGTCAAAGATCAGAAAAGTGCGAAGGTTTCAAACCTCGTAGCTTGATTCTAACATTCTATAAACAAGAAGCTGATTTACGAGTTGTTTAATTGTGTTTGGTAGAGGTTGGTCTGCGGGCACGAAAAAAGTCAGCATTTTGCAAGTCTACTTTGAAACAAAAGAGGGGTGTCAACTTAGATGATACAGAGAGTTCCATATTTCCAAAGTCGATTCCTTTATTTCTTCGACAGTGAAAAACAAACGCCAGCTATAACCTCTTGACTGATAAATGGGTCAACAGATATTATTCATATTTAATGAACATTACACTTATACAGTGTTTATTTTTGGGGAGAGAACTACTCTCGGAAGGGCTAGTATGTAAGTTACTTGACGAAGATTTCTAACTCTCTTTCAGCGTGGATAGGTTCCCCAGGCAATTTTTAAACATCAGACACAGTCCGTATAACAAACTGTGGTGTTATCTCCAAGTGGAAGTTGTTTTGAAACATGGAGTTCCACCAATGACGGTAGGGGGGCCGAAACTGAAACTTGGCAGGGGAAAACAATTATTGTTCGGTGATAGTTGCTATGATTCCCAGTAGATTAGTCGGAAAGCCACAAAAAGAGGCAGTTTAGTGATCGTGTTTTTACTGGGAATCCCAGAAACTGGAAATGGTAGGATGGCATTGTGTAGGAATAATGTAAAACAAAATTCAAAAGGACGAGGATTTTCTGTAATTTCCACACCAAACTGATGAGCGTAAGAAACCTTAGAGGGTATGTCTCATTATGTACCATACACAACGCTTTTTGCACGGTACTGAAATCATCGAGATCGAGCAATCCAGACACAGTCTGAGGAAAAGTTTAATACAAGAGAAAAGGGGAGGAAGATAAAGCAATAAGATGAAGGGGAATAAATACATAAAGTAAAAGCAATAACTCACCCAATTTCATTGACGTTAACTCTTTCTGCCACCTCGGGCTGGACAAGGCAAACTTTAGCCTCGCAATCGAAGCCATAAAATCCGTATAGCAACTTCTTACAGTAGCTGAAGAGAAAGAGGACAAATTCTCAATGCCGGAAAATTGATGCACCTGCTTCCCCTAACTTAATATAATTGGATGTGCCTTCCTGCTAGGCCTATTTGACGAACTTTAACGCCTACGACACCTTAGAAATTAGATTAAAACACGACTGGGGTACATCTCTGGTGTTAAAAATCAGGTTTTTATTTATGTTGAACTTGTTACAGCAACTTGTGCTCTGTGTGAGTAA